TACTCAAGATACAGTATAATAAAAATTAAACTAAAAATAGTATTTTCTTCCGCTTTCAATAAATATGAGTTTGTAAGCCTTGAATGGCAAATTCTACATCTTGTATGTTTCAACAATGGGAATTATTTCTTCCATGTCTTGTATGGGTATATAGTATTCACTTGCATCAGTGATCATAACCCATTCTTTTCAGTGTTTAAAAATGAACACAATATTCGTTTTGGTAGGTTATGAGTACTACATAATCAGTTAGCATGTTCTGTAATTGCTATATACTTGCTACCGCAATCAGAGCACTCCTCCAAAAAGAGCATCAAACATTAGCAAAACAAAGTTTAAAGGCTCCTACACACCGGGACGCTTTTCGTTTGCGTTTATCGTCAGCGTTTTAGGAGATGTTTTTCAGTATTCAAATCCAAGCGCTTTTTACTAACGTCAAGCTGAAGAGTATGCAAAATCACTCTTTTGACGTTAGATGGCGCTACACAAGTTTAAGCTTCTGACACCCGCTTATAACGCAGAAGAAGAGGAGTAGAGGAAGTTCACACGTTTGTTGTTAAAGTTACTGGTGACTCGAACTAGCATGGATGGTTCAAGCAGCAGCTCCAGTTCTAGCAATGAAGAAATGATTATTGTTCACAAGAGCAATAAGCAGCTCTACATTCAAATCGCCTCCGGGCATCTTCTTCAATGTGCGCTCGCATTGACAGTTTTGTGCTTGAGCGCCCCCAAGTGCTGTTCACTGTAACTTCAGCAGCTCCGTGCACGTGAACAAAAGTGCCGATCTGATTGGTGGACTCATGGGTGTTCTGGTCTAGAAAGGAGGTGTGTTAAGGCGCATTGTTGGAGCGCTGCTATTTTGAGGAACTAAAATAGACAATAGACTAGCTGAGCGCTGGTCTAAAGTCTAGCGCAGAGTGCGTTAGTTGTGTGCCTTACACGCTTACACATTGCTCAATACTCACAGGATGTACAGCAATACACAAATATCTTGGATTAAAATGTTACAAAAAATGATCATTTTCTACATAAATATAAAAACATGGCGACCCCAGATTAATAAAGGGACTAAGCCGAAAAAAAAAATTCATGAATGACTATAAAAACCACTGCCTTCATGTCATCATCTCAGGGGCTTTTTCCAGTTTATTTATTACTACTTAGATTTGTATATTATTATTATCATTATAATTTATTATTGGCATACTTATATTTGTTTTAATAAAAACAAGTTTAGATTTGTCCACCTGTCGGGTTTTGGAGGAGTTTGAATCAGCATCTGGGGCATAGGAAGGAGACGTGTGTTTGGATATAACTCCCTTTTTTGGTTTTTGAGCACACTGAGAACTGAATTTAGAAATAGTTTTAAAACAAATCTTTTTGCTTAACAAACAGAATTAATTATGTAGGCTGATGCATGTCTTCAGTGGAGTGCATTTCCTTATCCACGAAAGTAAAGGATTACAGTAAAGAGTAAAAGTAAAGAGAAAGTTGAGGCCAAATGGAGGAGGCTCATTCTTCATCCTTGTGCTGCAGATGGTCTGTTTATCTCAATAGTGAAGCGTTAAGTTTTTTCACTTACAAAGTCTGCAATGTAAATAGCAAATGCGCCATGGCACTACGCAACTGACCCTTAAGCTGCGGTCACACTAGGCTTTTCCTTCTATAGACTTCCATTCATACGCACACGAATGCGTCAGACCGAAAACATGGGGTTATGCGTCAAGTTTTGCAGGTTGCTGCGGTGCAAAGTTCAAGCTTGGTGAACTCTGACCTGCGAATTTGCATCACTTGACTGCGTGAGAACAATCGAGGATCAAATTATGATCAAATCATGACCTCTCTGAACAGAAATTTAAAACATGGAGCAATCGCTTGCTTTTAATAATGTCTAATAAGCTTGTTTAATCCCGCCCCTTTTCGCAGTACCACACGACAGAATAAGGCTTGCTCAAACTCTAATGTGACCGCAGCTTTAGAGGGAATGTGAGATGAGACTCTGATTGGTTTAATGCACATTATACTCAAAACACACCCATAATTAATTATAATAATAAACTCAACCCTGTTAGACCATGCACTGGCATCCAAACCGTATTTTTCCATCCTTAAAATAGCAAAAGTAGATTCAGACACACTCTTAATGCTTTTTTTACGCCATGCACTTTAGACTTTGCACTTTGATCATTTAAATAGAGCCCTATATGTTAGCAAAGCAGGCTACTCTGACTGGCAGACCTGTAATATAAATCAAATACTATTGGTTGTTCTTTTTTAAAAGGGGAGGAGCTACTCTGAACTGAACTTAAACACTAAAACCTGAACCACACTGTTCCAGTTACTATGACCATTTATGTGAAGCTGCTTTGACACAATCTACATTGTAAAAGCGCTATACCAATAAAGCTGAATTGAATTGAATACTCTGTCCAAATGCTTTCTGAATTGGTAAAGACTTTAGAAACAGTAGCATAACACTTAAATGTGGACATTTCTGGTTAAATCCATATTTCAAAACCCCTTTTTTCAGCAAAGAGCCATTTTAGATATTTTTTGGCAAATGTATTTTTTTTAAAGAGCCATATGATATATGGTATACATACTGTATATAGGGCGGTGTGGTGGTGCAGTGGATAGCACGATCGCCTCATAGCAAGAACGTCGCTGGTTGGAGTTCCAGCTGGGTCAGTTGGCATTTCTGTGTGGAGTTTGCATGTCCTCCCCGTGTTTGCGTGGGTTTCCTCCTGGTGCTCCGGTTTCCCCCACAATCCAAAGACATGCGCTATAGGGGAATTGGTTAAGCTAAACTGTCCATTATGTATGTGTGTGAATAAGTGTGTATGGATGTTTCCCAGTGATGGGTTGCAGCTGGAAGGCCATCCACTGCATAAAAAATGCTGAATAAGTTGGGGGTTCATTCTGCTGTGGTGACCCCAGAAAACAAAAAATTATATATATATATATATATATATATATATATATATATATATATACATACATATATATATATATACATATATATATATATATATACATACATATATATATATACATACACACACATACATACATACATACATACATATATACATACATATATAGTGCCCCACCAGAGCTGATATACAGCCACAGCACACTGCTACTTGTGTGATTTTGCGTTTATACAACAGTTCGGCGGCACAATCTTGTACATAAAAAAGAAAATCAAACACAGAAAGTCTAAAATCCTTTTGAATTAGGAACTACTTTCTTCCACCATTCATTCACATCTGCAGCTGACATCAGAACAGAATAGTATCTGGATGAAGTCTTTATGATACAAGCTGAGATTGCATCACTCAGCGATGCAATGTCAGACACAATGCACACAATGCATATATACACACACACACACACACACACACACACACACACACACACACACACACACACACACATATATATATATATACACACATATATATATATATACATATATATATATACACACATATATATATATATACATATATATATATATACACACACACACATATATATATATATATATATATATATATATATATATATATATATATATATATATATATACATATATATATACATATATATATATATACACACACATATATATATATATATACACACACATATATATATATATATATATATATATATATATATATATACATATATATATATACATACATATATATATATATATATACATACATATATATATATACATACACACACATACATACATACATACATACATATATACATACATATATAGTGCCCCACCAGAGCTGATATACAGCCACAGCACACTGCTACTTGTGTGATTTTGCGTTTATACAACAGTTCGGCGGCACAATCTTGTACATAAAAAAGAAAATCAAACACAGAAAGTCTAAAATCCTTTTGAATTAGGAACTACTTTCTTCCACCATTCATTCACATCTGCAGCTGACATCAGAACAGAATAGTATCTGGATGAAGTCTTTATGATACAAGCTGAGATTGCATCACTCAGCGATGCAATGTCAGACACAATGCACACAATGCATATATACACACACACACACACACACACACACACACACACACACACACACACACACACACACATATATATATATATACACACATATATATATATATACATATATATATATATACACACATATATATATATATATACATATATATATATATACACACACACACATATATATATATATATATATATATATATATATATATATATATATATATATATATATATATATATATACATATATATATACATATATATATATATACACACACATATATATATATATATATATATATATATACATACATATATATATATACATACATATATATATATATATATACATACATATATATATATACATACACACACATACATACATACATACATACATATATACATACATATATAGTGCCCCACCAGAGCTGATATACAGCCACAGCACACTGCTACTTGTGTGATTTTGCGTTTATACAACAGTTCGGCGGCACAATCTTGTACATAAAAAAGAAAATCAAACACAGAAAGTCTAAAATCCTTTTGAATTAGGAACTACTTTCTTCCACCATTCATTCACATCTGCAGCTGACATCAGAACAGAATAGTATCTGGATGAAGTCTTTATGATACAAGCTGAGATTGCATCACTCAGCGATGCAATGTCAGACACAATGCACACAATGCATATATACACACACACACACACACACACACACACACACACATATATATATATATATATATATATATATATATATATATATATATATATATATATATATATATATATACAAACCTTTTACTATTACAAAAAAAATGTTACTTCAAATAATTTATGCAGCAACATTTTCATTTTGTCTACTTTTAACAAACAAAAATTGTATGGGAAAATCAAGTTTTACTACTATTAATAAAATAACAAATCAACAATTTATTTTGGCCCATATCTGCACAGCATGGAAAGTAAAAGTAATATTTGTTAAATTCAGATCCCAAAATACAGTAAGAAAGCAGATATTTTAATTGGTACAAATTTATTTCTTTAATTGAGTAGCATTCTTTAAAAAAGTAATAAAAGTAGTAGTATTAGTACTTAGGACAATAACATTGAACAACATCTACCCAACATCACAGCTAGACTGTACATTTCTAAATCAAACTTTTCAAACATAAAATACAGTAGACCGAGCACAGAACCAACATATAACACCATTTCAAATGGTAAGCTACTGTACATAAAGTGAAGATATGCATTTTTTATTTCATTTATATGTACTGTATTTTAGAGCTACACTTCAGTAGTAAATAATTGATCTCAAGAACAAACTGAAAGAGGTCATTTTACTAAATTATAAACAAAGAGAACGCAGTCATTAATCTTACTACTTAAAAATAGTTTCAAGGGACAATAAATTAACGTGACACACGTCATGCTTGGTTACAAAATGTGCTCTCATATCATTAACAACACAGACAAAATGCATTTGTATTTGGCTGCAGACTAATAAACATTTTATTAAGAGAATATTTGTGTATTAGTAGTGCTTACTCATTTATATTTAAATCTATTGCTGCACTAGGCTGCATCTTAAAAACGAAAATCCAGTATCACAGATGCCACAGGCATAATCTACAGTAGTTTTAAAATGTTTTAGTTTCATAATAATTTCTATTCGCAACCATGTATCTGTTTTATACACTAAAAATCTTAAGATGTTCTCCTTTGGCTTTTTTTTTCAACAAACACATGCACATTTACAAATAGTTTGTACAAACTAGCAAACCGTTGCATCCAAGTTAAAATGTAAAGCTTAGCTTTTCATCCCTTTTAACAGCTCATTAAACACGATCCGAAGTACGAAACAAAATAAATCAATCTAAAATGGAAGGTGTAATACAGTAGGTGCACGTAAGCGAAAGATGTCCACTGAAGTATCCTTGTGATAGGTGGAGGGAGGCCATCTTTTGTTTTGTTCGCTCAACACACTCATCCTTTTACAGCCTGAGCATAAAGAAGACCTCATTGTCCGGGCTCAGTGGGCTTTGTTGGGGTGGTCCTGGTGGAAGCTGGCTTAAAAGATCCAGGCAAGTGCAAGGACTATGGGGTACACTACAAGCTCCTTCAGGGTTCCCACGCTCTTCGATGGGGCTCCCAGACATCCGGGTTATGCTTTGTAGCCGTTGCCTTTCCTGGGCCTGCCTGGCACGGTTAGCGATGTATCTCACGCGGCTCTGGCTCCGTGATGAACTCCTCCGTAAAGGAGGCATCTCCTCTTCTTCCTGTCCTGCTTCTGAGTCAGCCCGGCACTGAGCAAAGTCCTTGCTGGTAAGGGGTTCCACGTCAGTGAGCCTCTTCAGCTGCTCAGTGAAATCATTTTGGGGTTTCCTCAGAGTTTTCCCATGTTGGCGACTTGGCCTCACGATGAAACTGCGGCTAATGCTGCGATACTTGCTCTCGAAGTTACAGATGATATCGTCTGAAGTGAGATCTCCCAGACTTTTGGACTTTGAGTCGATGTCTTTTGCTGAAAGGGTAGTTGACTTCTTGGAGGCTGCAGAAGCAGCAAGTGTCGATGACTGCTTTAGGCCTTCAACGTACAACCTGCTCCACGTGTGTCGCCTTTGCATGGGTCGGATGGGGTCTTTATCGGCTACCAGAGGTCTGGGTTGCAAATCGTCATCTGTATTGCACATCTCGCCATCCCGCAGGTTGGGGTTGGACTTGCTCTTGCTGACAAGCGAGACTCCACATCCTGCAATGACCGACCGATGGTTGTTGGTCAACGAAGCCTGCTTGTCTGAATAATCCCGGGCTGCGCTAAGACAGGTAAGGCTTTTCCTGGAAAGGTTGGGCAAGGACAGATCAATCACAGTGTCATTGGACGAAATGCTGGAAGACGATGACACACTATCCCGATGGCTGCTGGGGTCAAGTTTGCTCCAGAGCCTGTCGTTTAAAGTTGCGTCAGTACAAACTTCTGGCACCACCGAAGGGCCGTCTGCCTTTTTCATTTGTCCTTCACTTTTGGACCTTCTCACAGGGGTCCTCAGTCCTGTTTGCATGCTTCGTCCAATGTCTCTGTCAAACACTGCCTTCAATGCCTGAATCCTCTGAGAGCTCTGAATGGCAGTTGGTTCCTTCCCAGCATCTATCTCTAGAGTCAGTCCTGTTTGATTGATGACTGTCTCTTGTGCAACCTCTCCATCCGCCCGATGGAAAGTGGGAAAAGTTGGCGTGTCGCATCCAATGTCAAGGTAATTAGTGGAAATTGATGAGTTTACAGGACTGTTCCCAGAATCCTTACCACTCGTAGATTGGGTTAGTGCAAATGATTTCAGGATGTCCTCGTTATTTTTCACAGGGCTGAGATTTTCCCCGTTGGAAGATGCCGTTATTGCTGTGGATGGTGAGGACAAGGGACAATGCGGTGAGGTATCCACAGGACTTTGCGTTGAGGTCGAAGGGCTGTTCTCCTGAAAGTTCTCAGTGATGGATTCCAGACATGAGGCGTTCAGAGATGGAGTTGGACTCTGCACTTCAGAATTTTCTGAAAATACACGACAAGCAGGAAAATCAGCTACATTCGGATAGTTTAGTAACAATTAAAACACACAAAATTGCCACGGTCACACTGCACTTTTCATCCCGTTGACTACACCAATGTTTCCCAACCCTGTTCTTGAAGGCACACCAACAATACGCATTTTCAACCTCTCCCTATTCAAACACATGTAAATCAACTCTCAGAACATTGGAAGAGACTCCAAAACCTGAAATGAATGTGTCAGCTAAGGGAGACATTCAAAATATGTACTGTTAGTGTGCTTAGTTAGTGGTTAGTGTTGGGAAACACTGGACTAGACTATTATGTTAGACTGGAAACGTAAGCTCATGCAATAAGTTTCGACATGTCGCTGCTTTACAAACACCAAGTTTGGTCAACTCTGACAAACGATTTAGCATCACGAGCGACAAATAGAAACATGACATCTCTGTATAGATATTTAAAATATGGATGGTTTTATCAGTGTTGCATCATCTTGAATTTTGCATGGCAAATTTTAGTGAACGTGGCTTAAGACTACATAAACTGTATCATAAATGCCGAACAAAGCCAACAACATACAGCAAGTTCATTTTGCACATGAATGAAATAATATATTTTGACATACAGCACATTTCGCAAAACAAAAAGGTGAAGTGTGTAATTAGAGTAACACATTATCTTCATTGCTAGTTATTTACCACATTGATCATAGATTATGAGACTGTTCAGCTAAAATCAGAAAATTCGGTCATCATTTACTTCCCTCTACACTTGTTCCAAACCAGTCTGATTATCTTACACAAAACACAATGATTTCTGAAGCATGCTATAATCTCAACAATTGATGAGAGCAATTGGTTTTCATGGTAGGTTTTCCTACAATGGAAACTGACAACTGTCGAATTTACGACGTTTTCAAAACGTCATCTTTTGTGTTAAACAGAAGAAAGAAACTCATACATCTTTTTAACAACTCGAGGGTTAGTGAACAGTGACTAACTTTCCATTGTATTTATACAACACTAGTTGTGTCTGAATATTTTTTGCTAGACCTACAGTATATACACTATTAAGTGGCTTAAAGCTCTCTCAATATTGAACTTTCATCATAGAAACACACACTTCAGCTTTAAGCACAGTTGATCAAAACCAAACATGACACAGATAGGCTGCAAGTATGTAACATGCTTACCAAACTTTAGCATTGGAAGACGTGCATTTAATTACAAAATATATTAGAATAGTTTGAAAAAATCTTATCAAACTGAATGGTAAACACAAAAGTTCATGTAAATGAAACACACAATAATATACAAGAAAAATTAAATAAATAAAAAAAAAAAAAACATTACTTTTAATACTTGACTTGAGTTCTTGAGTAAATCACCATGTAACACCAAAACGATCAAATTTAGGTCTTTCTAGCGTATTTAATGCTCATTTTGTCACCTGCCAGATAAAATGAGCATAATTAATAACCAAAATCTTTCCTCAAGTAGCACTCAATAGCATTAGGACTTTGGAACAGACCACATTGGTAAATATGACCAAAATAATACTGACACGTCCAACTTCAAACTGCTACTGTTACTCTCGCATGTTTAGTAAAGTTTTAGTGATACTTAATTTATATGAAGCTGTGTAACGGGTATAAAGAACGCACACTACCATGTAATTCATATTATAAATCATTGTATAATGAATACACTGCCTGTTAAAAAAGTCTTGTTGTTGATCTCAGCTGTAAGAGCAATAAATAATAACTTGCTTTCTAGTTGATCGTTTGGAAAAGTGGCAGAAAGTCGATGAATCATCTGTTGAACTGTATTCCAATCTTCACAAATACTGCAGAAGACCTACTGGAACCTGCATGGACCCAACATTCTCATAGAAATCCGTCAAGTTTGGTGAAGGAAAAGTCATGGTTTGGGGTTACATTCAGTATGTGGGGCGTGCAAGAGATCTGCAGAGTGGATGGCAACATCAACAGCCTGAGAAATCAATACATTTGTGCTGCCTATTACATTACATCAAATTTCCTAAAAGCAATGGTTAAGGTGCTCCAGGACTGGCCAGCCCAGCCACCAGACATGAACATTATTGAGCATGTCTGGTGTTAGATGAAGGAGGAGGCGGAAGGTGAAGAAGGTGAATCCAAAGGATGTTAATGAACTCTGGGAGTCCTGCATGAACACATTCTTTGCCATTCCAGATGACTTTATTAATGAGTTATTTGAGTCATTGCATAGATGGATGGATGCAGTCGTCCAAGCTCATGAGAGTCATATATAATATTAATTCAGTTTCCATGACTTTATATTCTATACTGTATATTATTTCTGTTCAGTGACAAGACTTCTGTCTAAGCAAAGTTAGACCTTACTGTCCTCATTAAGTAATTAAAAATAAATCCATGATCATATTTTATTCTGGTAAAATAAGCGAAATCTAGAGGCCTTTGCCTATCATATAAGCCACTTCTGATACTAAATGATCAACTAGAAGTCAAGTTATAATCCTAAAACTTGAATAGGCGACAAGACTTTTGTGTATATAGCATATCATTATGAAAAAAGAAATACATTTAAAGCAAAAGAAAAGACAAGCTTAAGCAAAATGCTAATAAATCGTTTTACCTGGTAATTGGTCAGCCCCTCAGTTTTGCACTAAGGACAGAAAGCATGCAAGAAGGAAGGAACAAACAAGCATTTTAACAGGAGAAATGCAGAGTGAAACAGAAGGACTTTGTGTAAAGAGGAAGGAGATGGTGCAGTACATCAGGAAAATCACTCCAGCTTTGATCTGATATGGATTTATAGAGACAATAAAGCGTGTCAGCGTAGGAAGGTTAATGTTTAAAGATCTAAACGGTGAGGACTAAGAAGGTTAGCACACAAGGAGCTGAGAATCTATGGTACCTTAAGGAACAGAAAAATGCAGCTCTCGTTCATAAGTCATATGATGAATTCCCACTTCCCAAAAACAGCAGTAGAACAACAGCTAGTCAATGTTCCCAACCAATGATTTCCAGAATGTTCCAGTGGTCGAACATCTGGTTTGTGTCTGCTCGCTAAAGCACTTGGGACACATTCTAACTACTTACATAAGAGTCCTGTGACCCTCTTGGTCTTGTGACGGCAACTTATATAACAAAACATTGAACCAGTAATGTTCTCAAAACCTAGTGTACATTACATTTGAGTTACTTCTTTACACATACACTAAAAACATATTTGATCTATACAGTTGATGGCGAATTTATTAGCCCTCCTGTGACAGTTTTGTAATGATTTTTTATACTACTTTATTTTCATTTCGTTTTCTTCTGGAGAAAATCTTATTTGGCATGAAATGAAAGCTAGAAATGAATCAACTAGAAAAATAATCTGCCAATGGGGTAAGCAAATTAATCTTATGTCAAAAGGAAAAACGAGATTATTTAGCTTACCCCATTGGCAGATTATTTTGCTTGTTTAAAAGAAAAACTCACTTAATTTTGGCATATTATTGCTGAAAACCAGACAATATGTTTTGCTTGTCTAGAAAATTCTTCTTGATTTAATAATTGTGAGATATTTAGGCTAGAAACAAGACAAAAAATCTACGTAAGAAAAGCATTTTTTGCAGTGAATCACCTGCTGCAGCCATGGTTTAAGTCGAACGCACCAAGTCGAAGACAGACATTCTGGCACTTAACGCACATTTTCAAAGCAGAATATCTGACTTTAGCATTGTTTTTCAGATAAACAAGTATGTTCTCTGAGCATGTTTTTTAAATATTTGCAAATTTATTATGGCATTTTTATGCTTTAGAAGAGGCAAAAACTTACATACAGCACCTTTAAATTATTTTACTTTATAGTTTTAAAATGTCCTTATGTTTTCAGATTTTTCAAAACCATGGAACATTTTCGTAGCTCAATTTTAATTTGCATATTACTAGAGGTAATTTAAATATTCCTACACTTTTATATCTAGGCAAATCTGAGCACAGCAATTTAAAACATTGCTGAGATGTTTTACAGTAAACACTACTTATGGCTCATATGTTGTTTGCAAAACTTAGATTTACAATAATTTTGCAAGTCAATAAAGTCAAAAACACAAAGAAACATTGACAAACACCTTCAAAGTCATCATGCAGCTCCATTTAAATGCAATTTAAGTTTCAGAATATTAACTGAAGGAAACAGGAAGTAAGGTGAGATGGTGAGCAAACTAAATCAGCAGTTACATAATATTGAGGATTCTCTACGACATCAGGATCTTCTTCGTGACATCCCAAAGATCCCAATGAGATCATCCACAAGGTGTTTACTGGGTTCCATCACGGACTACTAGAATCTATCCTACTGAAGCACTGGGGCTTTCTACAAGTGAAGATTTGTCTAACTACAAACACCTTACCATCGAAAAACAAGGGGGATTTACTTCGGATCTCCTCCATTTTCTGGGCAAACAGGGCGTTCATCTCGCGCTGCAGTGTCCCCGCGGCCCTCTTCCGGTTCTCCATTCCTCGTGATGGGAAGACGGTGGGGAGATCGAGACTGGCCAAACTGTCGCAACTGCTGGAGTCGCTGTCAGATAATCTGGCGACTTCGTTTACAGGTCTGGTCATGTTGCAGTTGCTGCCGTAGTTGGGTGGAGCAGGGCATTGCTGGAAAAGGCTTGTTTTAGTGTCTGGAACTGGAGGAGGCGGGGTGGATGGGGACTGGAAGAGTCTGCGTGGAACACTACATGAGCGTGCATTTCTGGTATTGAGGTTCTCGGGGGGTGGAAGAGGCTGGGCAGCCAATGTTTGTCTGGCCTTTGCTCTTGATCTTGGTAAAGGTACGGGCTTTAGAAGAATCTGAGGCTCTGGTTTGGACTTTAAATCAGGTTGGGCCAAGGCTTGTGGTTTGAGAATGGGTTCTGGTTGAACTTGTCTTGAAGTTGTTGGAGACCGAGATACCCTTTGAGGTCTAAGAGGAGGAGTAGAGGTCTGGGTAATCTTCCTATCTAAAATGGGACTCTCCTTGGTGCCAATTACACATTTTATGCAATTGGAAGTCATCCCAATCTTCCCAGTGCTGTTTATAGCAACACGTGCAAACACACCTGGCTTTTCATCTAGTGGATCCTGGAGACGCAACTTGTTGGCTCGCTTCAGAGGTTCACTCATGACGCCCCTGTTTCGGTGAGCATGGGGCTCAGGATGAACGAAAGAACTCTTACCTTTTCTGTCATCAGGGTGAAGCTGCCCGTTGGTGCCTTGACCCCATGACTTTGCAGACGCAGTATCTCCATTGTGGTGGACAAGAGGCCCCTCTTCAGATTCCCGCTCCTCGCTGGCGCCGTCCGAGCTGCAATCTTTTGTGTCAATGGAGATCTCGGGGAAGCCCCTCTTGACTTTGGGTTGGCCCTTGGTGGGGGCACTGGCTGTGCGGCGCAGGAGGTGAGCACCGAAGGTACTCTTACGGTTGAGCAGAGCAGCAGCATGGCTGTCGAGAGATGCTTGCTTTGGGTTTCTGTGAAAGAGTCCTTTTATACCACTGACTGCTCGAGCCTGCAATCGGATAACAGAAAGAAGGGTAGGCAATATGAATCTATGAGAGGACTAATAGGATCACCTACATGAGATTGGGAAGCTACTCTTCCTCAATGCCCTTCACGAGTATTTTTCAAAGTTATTAAAAGTTAGTTCAGCCAAAAATAAATGTTCTGTTATTAATTACCTAATAAAAGACCTTATTAAGACCTTTGTTCATTTTCAGTACACAAATTAAGATACTTTAGATGAAATCTGAGGGCTCTCTGACCCTCCAAAGACAGCAAAAGATTTGACTCATTCAAAATCCAGTAAGGTACCAAAAAGTGTTTCCAGTTCAATCTGGATATTATCAAGCTATTTAATACCTTTGTGCACACATAAAAATTAATAACTACTTTATAGGACAGGGGTGCCCGAACTCAGTTCTGGAGGGCTGCTATCCTTAATTTAGCTCCAACTTGCTTCAACAGACCTGCCTGCCAGTAAGTTCATCTAGTAAGAGTTTGGTTAGCCGATTCAGATGTGTTTGATTAGGGTTGGAGCTAAACTCTCCAGGACACTGGCCCTCAGGACAGAGTTTGGGCACCCTTGGTACAGGGCATGGGCTTGTGAGCACTGTACACTAATGTATATGCCCTGAATGTCCGCATACAACTTCCAATGTTTGAAGCAAGGTACAGGCACATGCAAGGTAATAAGTCACAGGTGGGTTCACATATCATTTTCAGTGTATGATATGTGAATGTGCGCGCTATACTGACACTGAGGAGAACAACTCTTAAATAAAATCATTTTTTATTTGCAAACAAAAGCATTCTCGTAGCTTAGTAATATGCTGATTAAACCCATGAAAGCACATGGTCTGCTTTGAGGATGTTTCTTAGGATTTATTTGAAAGCACTGCTGTCTATGTAGGATGAGAGAGCTCTTGGATTTTCTTTAATATATTTTAATTTGCATTCTGAAGAGGAATGAAGATCTCAGGGGTTTAGAACAAAATGAGGGTAATTAATGACATAATTTTCATTTTTGAGTGAATTAACCCTTTAAATTAAAATAAATAAATTGCAAAAACAATAATAAAACATTAATACCTTCTGTTTAGTTAACAAAAATATACCCCCGTTATATTATTAAAGTTGCTGACAACATTTATCAGTTTTATTTGAAGAATCATTTTGATAGTTTGTTAATATTTATCCACTGACATGTACAGTTGAAGTCAGAATTATTAGCCCCCCTGTTTAATTTTCCCCCAATTTCTGTTTAACGGAGAAAATATTTTTTTTCCAACACATTTATAATCATAATAGTTTTAATAACTCATTTCTAATTACTGATTTATTTCATCTTTGTCATGATGACAGTAAATAATATTTGACTAGATATTTTGCAAGACACTTCTATACAGCTTAAAGTGACATTTAAAGGCTTAACTAGGTTAATTAGGTTAGCTAGGCAAGTTAGGATAATTAGACAAGTTATTGTATAATGATTTTTGTTCTGTAGACTATCAGAAAAAATATAGCTTAAAGGGGATGACTTTAAAATGACCTTAAAATGGTAAAAAAAAATTTAAAAACTGCTTTTATTCTAGCCGAAATAAAACAAAAAAAATGTTTTTCAGAAGAACAAATATTATCAGACACACTGTAAAAATCTCCTGAATCTGTTTAACATCGTTTGGGTAATATTTAAAACATAAGAAAAAATTGTGAGGGGATAATATTTCTGACTTCAACTAAATATTTAAACAATGACAAAGTATCCAGCAAAAGTCTTAGACCCCTAGTAGCTCTGGTGTTTTAGATAAGATTGAACAAAGATACAAATAAAAAGTAAAAAAAAACTAAAAGACAACTGCATACTGCCTCTATAATATTCAGGTCTGGACACTGTGGGGGCCAGTACATGACTGTCAGTGATTTGCCGTATACAGTATACTGTCTACTGTCTACAAATATGATTTCAATGATTAGGTGGGAACTGAGAAAACTATATGTGGTCATTTTACCGCTACTAAAACAACAAATCTAAGACTTTTGCACAGGCTATGTACAGTTGAAGTCAGAATTATTAGCCCCCCTGAGTTATTATACTCCCTGTTTATTTTGTCCCCAATTTCTGTTTATTAGAGAGATTATTTTTTCAGCACATTTCTAAACATAATTGTTTTAATAACTCATTTCTAATAACTGATTTATTTGATCTTTGCCATGATGACTGTAAATAATATTTGACTAGATACTTTTTAAGACACTTCTATACAGCTTAAAGTGACATTTAAAGGCTTAACTAGGTTAATTAGGTTAACTAGGCAGGTTAGGGTAATTAGGCAAATTATTGTACAACGATGGTTTGTTCTGTAGACTATCGAAAAAAATATAGCTTAAAGGGGCTAATAATTTTGACCTTAAAATGGCTTTTAAAAAATGTAAAGCTGCTTTTACTCTAGCCGAAATAAAACAAACAAGACTTTCTCCAGAAGAAAAAAATATTATCAGGCATACTGTGAAAATTCCCTTGCCCTGTTAAACATCATTTAGGAAATATTTAAAAAATAAGAAAAAATTCAAAGGGGGGCTAATAATTCTGACTTCCACTGTATATACTTTAAATAAGTTCTGTTCTAATATAATATAATGATGCTATATCAAATATGCTACCATTAGAAAGCACAACAGTTATATCAATATGACCAAAGTTGTCACAAATGTAGCAGAATTTGGAATCAACAGACAAATGTGGGTGATCAACACACACCACTAAACACGAAGATGCAGACAATGTTGGGAATTTGTGGGGCGTGATGTTAATAACTGTGAAATGAGATTAAATGTTGAGTGAACAGGTGATAGGATATTCATGTCCAACCATATCTGTTAGGGAAAAAATGACACTGGGTTATCTGCTCAAACAATGGAAGCAATGACTAGCTTGTATGGAATAAAAAAAGGAGGTTATAAAAATAATTCTATTAAACTAATAGTCATAAAAACAGACATTCTACCTGAAATAAATAAATAAACTAGTCATTTTCGTACTTTCTCTGCATAATACCCAGTGTCATTTCATGAACCATGTTCAAGTAGATCCATGTGAATCTTCAAAGTGAGCCATTAGATCTCCATCACATCGTCTCATGCATTTGTTTGTGAACTCATTTATGCTAATCGACACAATTAAAGCATCCATCTCTTAAGACCATAAGATATATAAAAATGTACCTGCTAATCTCCAGCCCTCATAGTAGACCCTCATAGTCTCGGATAGGAATAGAGAAGACGTAACACACTATTCAAACCAAAATCAACGCGTTTCTCTTTCGGACCGTACAGCACGAGTGCAGCTCTCTTACTGTGAGCAAGGCAGCCGAATCCATATCATGGCCTTAAATGCCCTGAGTTAAGTGAAATAGGAGTGAACGCTGTCGCTTGCTATATTGACACTGACACTGGATCTGCTTTTTAGGGGTCAATGAGAATGCAGCCAAGGAAAGGAAGTCACAATTATGTCACAACTCATTTTGCATGAGTTGGCATGGTGAAAGCTAGCAAATGAATCAGGGCTTAGCCGCTCA